ACCAGATAGAAACTATGGCCACATCTCCATGACCTACACAGGCCTACCTGGAAGTGTGCTTCAGTAGTACCCTTGCAACTCCCAAGCCAATCAAGTTGACAAGTTTAACCATCACAGAGAATTTATTTGACGCAGAGAACTGGTTACCAACATGATGAAGAAGCTAAGAGTGAGGAAACGAAGCATTTAACCATGACAGGAAGTCACTACTTGGTCTAAGCTGGAAGGGGATAAAAGGACAGACTGCATCATTAAATGGAAGCTGACTTCAATGGTCCATCCAGTCAAAGCTGAAGCCACGGGAGTGTGTGTGTGTGTGTGTGTGTGTGTGTGTGTGTGTGTGTGTGACCTTTGGCGAAAAAATCCTCCTGAGGCAAATGGGTGAGCAAGAGCAATGGAAGAAGAATAAACTAATAAACTGGGCGGATTTTGCCTCTTCCTAACTCTTGCCACTGGCTTCTCTAGGCTGCCACAACTAGAAGCCAGCCCCCCAATGCTCCTGTAAAACAGAATTGGCCAGGATCACTCTTCCAATGGTTCAGAGCATAGACAGGGGGCAAGGATCAGAGGGCAGTGAGGGCCAGATCCAGCATGGGTAGTCGTGCCTCTGTGAATTAGCTAACTGGTTTACCCCTTTTCCTATAAAGCCAAAATCTATGAGTGGGTTTGGTGAATGTCTCACTATATAGATTTTATAAGACAGTGTGAGCTATGACAATAAAACCCAGTGCTCCTTCTAGATATCTATATCTATATCTATATCTATATCTATATCTATATCTATATAGATCTATCTATCTATCTAGATATACCCTTACAATTTTTAAAGTTTCACAACATCATTTCCCCTTTATGACATATTATATTTATGTGAAGACAAGAACAAACAAAAAGTTGCAAATTTTAAGAGTGTGAGAAAGCCTAATTCAATTCATGACTTTCAATTCCTTTAACACTAAGGATAAGGATTGTATCACCATGCTAATAGGGGCAGGAAAATGTCAGGCTAGTGTTCCTGTGATTCCAATGAGGAATTCCAAACCACAAAGAAATGGCAAAACAGGCCATTCCTAAGATCAGAGAAAAATGGAGGAATGGCATCACTGGATTTTTCCTGCCCATAAATTTTGCCAGTCAATGTCTGTACTCCTTGTTTCTCTAGTTTTGGTTTTTATGCTGGGGTTACCACTTCATTTAGGAGAAAACCATGCTCTGTTCTTGCCTCATATCTTGTTCTGAGGTACTCCAGTTCAGCCTTTCAACCCAGAAAATAAACTTTTGGCATTTCTTTTATTGAACTTTTTAACAGTCTCTTTAGTAAACAGAGGCAGTTGAATGATTGTTTCAAGTGCTCAAAAGATGACAAACTTCTTCTCTAGAAAGAAGACCTTTCCTGACAACTTCATCATGTATAATAGATCTTTTATTTTTTTTCCTTTGCATTCATCCAAGATTTTGGTTAGAGAAAAAGAAAAAAGAAAGGAAAATGTGTCAAAAGTCCATCGGTGCTAACTCCCTATGACAGGGATGAAGGAAAATACTTTAATAGTTCAAAAGTAGTAATGCCAAAAGCTCTCTATGAAAGACTGATTGTAAACATGTATATAATTGTTTAAAAAGGAGTTTTTAAACATGTTTAATGGGTACTTTTTATGCATACAGTACAGTTATGTTCATCATTGGGATCTTGTACCTTTACATGGTGTATCTTGGTTCTTATTTTTTCTCTATTTTCCTGCCCTCTCTTCCCCCCCTCCACCCTTCTCTATTTAGTGTAAAGACTTTGTTTCCATTTTTCCCTTTTCTCATATTTTTTCTCTTCTTTCCTTTCCCCTACCTTTCCCACTTCCCCTACTTCTTTAGCTCTACTCTTCCTACTTCATGTGATCAATTATACAATTTGAACCTATTTACTTACACTTTTAGTTTTTTCTATGCTCTTCTAAATTTAAGTGACAGTTTAATAATAAAGATGTAAAGTTTAAAATTTTTGAATTTTTTTTTTGTCCAACTGGTGCCAGATGGACTAAAAGTGTAACTAAAAGAAATAACTAAAAGTAGTTATTTCTACCTTGCTAAGGATATTTTCTTTGAGACAAAGCTTCAACATGCAGCTCAAGCTGGGCTTGAATTCACTGTGTAGCCCAGGCTGGCTTCAAACTCATGGCAGTCCTCCTGTCTCAGGACTACAGGTGTAAGCCACCACACTTGGCTTACCTTGCCAAGAATTTAGGTGGCCATTCTTCCATTACTTAAGGGTATTTAAACATGAATTGCAATCTAGAGTTTGCCTTGAGCTTAGAACACAAGAGCTAGCTTCATAGTTATGCAAAAAATACACATGTAGCAAACATATCTCCCCACCCAACATTATAACATCTTTTCAACCACATTATTCTGTTTGTCAATCCCTCTATTTTAACTATTAAAATGTAAAATTATGCTTTTCTACCTTAGTCAAGGCAACATTCCTGAGTGTTTTAGTTCATATGATATGCTATAAAAAGTACCATAACTTGGGTAGTTTTAAATAATAGAAATATATTTATAACAGCTGTAGAGGCAAGAAAATTCAAGACTAAGGCATCCACAGATTCAGTGCCTGGTAAGGGTCCACAGATGGCAACTTTCGCTGTGTCCTCACAGAGTGACAGAGTTGAGACATCTCTCTTGGGCCTCCTTTACAAGGACACGAATCCTGTCACAAGCGCTCTCTCTTCATTTTCTAATTACCTCCCAAAGGCACAAATACCATCACCAATACCATCACCTTGAAGGTTAGGATTTTAACATGTAAACTTTGATGGTGCATAAATGTTCATATCGCAGCCCTGTTTCTCCTTGCCTTGAACAATGAAGGAAAAATTCTCGTCTTCTCTTTCAGATTGCTTTCTCCAGCACTGATCATCTGGAGAAATACTTAAGTAACATCTTAAATTTTTAAAGTACTTCCTTTAGCAATATCTTATTCATTCTTACCATAACCCATTGTTTAGGTGCTGACAGAAGCCATTGCCTTAGCCATTGTTCCTAAGAGCATGCAGCCTTCCTCTGCTCTTCTCTGTTCAGTTCTGACCGTTCCTGCATCTCTGAAATTTTAACCAATTTGGACTTAAGTCTAAGAAATCCTAGAAAACATCCTATTCTTTATGGAAATTCAAAAGACATTCCCTCACATGAATTAGTAGGGCCTGTTTTCTATACTCAAACTGATGGAGTGGCTTGCCTAATAGCTTTGGAATTAGATGCCATAAAGTAAGCTTAAATACTAGCTACCCTGTGTCACAGACCCAAATCTGCTTATGCATGTGTCTTTCCAAATGAGATTATCACCATTTGACAGTATGGAGATCACGATCTGTCATGTATATCACCAACTGTCCACAATCACAGATAGGTGCCTGGAGTTGGATGCAACGGCACACATCTGTAATCCCGACACTCTGGGAGGCTGAGGCAGGAAGATTGCAAATTTGAACCCAGCCCGAGCAATTCAGTCACTTAATGAGAATCAGTCCCCAAAGAGAAATGATAGATGCCTGAATGCAAGTCTGTCCCATTTCCTACCGGGATGCTGTCCTCACATTATGAGTGGTCTGACATGTTTGTATGTGCCAAGGCAGAATGTAAGAATAAGCTATTATGGAAATGCATGCCTGTTTTTTGCCTTCATTTCTCCCTTTTAAATGAAGTTAGGAGAACCTGGGAACCATAAAACGTTGCTCCCACGGAAAAGTGGAATGTGTTCATGGAATGAGAAGTCAGCGTAAGGTGTGAGAAGCCCAGCTTCAGCTCCCACCCATGAGATTACTGTTACTACATTAGACAACAGCGGTGGAGCAACAGCAACATCTGCGATAGCGAGCAGACAATAAGCAGAAGACGGTGGGAGAAAACCCTCCTTATTCCTCATGATTTCCCTTTGCCAGAGCTTTAAACAAGTGTGAAGACTTTTACAAGTGAAAAACAGCACAAAGGGGCATTGAGGCTGTTCTCCAATATGGCCCCCAAATCCCTACGCCTACTAGTGGGAACCCTGCACACATAACCGTCCAAGATCAGACCTCCTAAGTAGAGCAGTTTTTCTAGGAGATTTTTCTCATTGGGACTTTAATTAAGCTCCTGCCAGGCATGCAAGCTTTTTAATTTTACCTTTCTTTCTTCTTTCTTTTTCTTTTTTCCTTATATCAGCTTGCTTGCCAGGAAACTTTTTCTAAGCTGTCACAGTTATAGTAAATGTACATGAAGATATTACATTTAGAGATGGACGAGTAATTGATTTTCTAAGGATCCACTGCAGAGATTTTATAACATACAGAAAAGATTTTATCCATTCATTCACTCCTTCATTTGGTGTGTCTATTTTGTGAGTCATAAAACAATAGAAAAAGCAGCTTCATGGAGTGTTCAGTGGCCACTGGTTAGTAAATGATATTACACACCCTCCCATAAACTTACCTCTCACACAGGAGAAACTTGCTATTGCTTAACTTGATGTTCACCATTTGTGGCTGTTTCACAGCATCAGTGGGTAAAGATTGAGTGAGCCAAGAGAACATGATGCCTCAGTTGATAATGTTACATATACTTAATGAAATGTAATATTTAATTGACTTAGGTTCCTTTTGAAGAGCCTTTTGTTCTTAAACTCATTGCAGTTCCGACAGTATGAAGGCAGGATGTTGGGTTGCAAAAGGTGACCCTTTTAAAGCAGAATCTAGGAGATGCTGTTTTCATTTGAGGAAACCTAGCTAAATTGGTCACCTTGAATATGATGCTATCTTGTCTGTTATGACTAATTTCTTTAAAAAAAAATCAGATAATATTGCATGAGCAGAAGTAAAACAAGCCATCAGAGCCACAAAAACTAAAATGACAGATATGGAACATTGGCACTATTATCTGTTCTCCGTGGTTGTTATCGTCATTATTATTATTTACTTAATAATTCTGCAATGTCATATTATTGCACCAACTGCTCTTATCTGTGAGGTACTTACTGATCGCCTCCACAAACTGCTCAAAGAAACTGTAAGGGAAGAGCGGCTCAGGCAGCTCCCGGAAAAACATCTTCAGTGCTCCGGTGACAACGTGGATGTCCTCCCACTGGCTGTCATCCAAATTCAGCGTCTCTTCTGGGAAAACACGAGGAGAAATGGAACAACTGGTTTTAATGAAACAATTACAAGACACTAATTATTATGTTAATGTTTGCCTACTATCATCAGCAACCGTTAACAGCCTTCTGCACCTAGAGGTTTGGTGCTGTGCATGGTTGTTTTTTTTTTTTCCCCCTCCCTTTTTCCATAGGAAGGGAACATTTTCAATGGAATACCATCTGTAGGAATGCAGCTAACAAAAAAACACGAGACACAAAGAGACAGTGCCATTGACACAGTATGTCAGACACATTTATTCCCATAATGCATCAGTATGAAAATTAGCATCACAGCGCAACACGATTCAAAGCTATTTGGTTTTGAGGCCGAGGGGCTACGAGTTGCCAATGATGGTCGGCTCAAGGGACCGGCCTAAAGGCCTTGCTGAGCCAACAGGAGACATATGCTAAACATGGCAATAGAAAATGAGTTATTGCTTTACATGTGTTAGCCTTGCTATGTACAAGGGAATAATGGGTAACACTTTTTTTTTTCCATTTTTGCCTGAATATAAAGTCAGCAAGGAATAGAATACTGAGTGAGAAAAGATATTAATTCTTTCTTACTGCTTCAAAAATATCTTTTTTCAGTTTTCATCTCAGTGAGGAAAATGTGCCCAGCAACAATATTAGACAGACCCCTGTTGGCCTATGTAGGCTATGCAAAGCTGTCAAAAATGATAACACACTGAAGACAAACTACGAGCGCTTACCAACTCTTTAGAAACAACAGAAATGTTTTCTTGAGAAGCTGGAGTGAGTTGAAACACTGAAATACTAAACAAAGTTGTTGCCAAAATGAAGGTTTCAGTAGAAATACAGTGTGCTGGGCAATTATTTTCCTTCTCACGCTCAATATGAAAGTCTGGAAGTATTTTCACCCAAGAAATGGATGTATTAGTGTCTGATAGTAATAGCTTTACACACAGTTAAAAGAACAGGACACAAAAGTACTGCTGTTAATCCATAGGATTTGTCTTTCCAAATGGGCTTAAAGAAATGAAAGCTAATCAGTGTAGACAATCTGGAAGTTAACTGAGAAGCCGGGAATCCAGGCAAGAACTTAACAGGTATTTGGTCAACTGGACTTTTGTTTCCATACTGAAATCTTGGGCTCATATTCATATGCTCCCTCAGCATCAGTTTTATGAATGCCAAGAAGTATTTTGCACCAAAAATGTAAGAAAAGCTGAGAATTGTCACTGTAGGGTTTCTCTGCATGAGCTGTTTTGTTAATAGTGTTCATATCCTTTTAAAAATATTAGTCCCCATCTCCATCAAATCTTTTTTTCTAATGGACTATTATTTCCAAGGCTAGTAAATAATGTTCCTGCCCAATACTATACTTGAAATAAAAAGAGAGACAAAAAAGGAATGAGGTGGATCTGTTTAGTTTAGATGGGCTATTTTCTTCTTTCAATCTTCATTCCTACCTCAATCATAACACAATAATATGACCCACAACAAAATCAGCAGAGGAGACCTTCTTTCTGCCCTGCAATCATTTTTGATTGATTATATTTCAACAATTAGTCTTTTATTTGGCTACACACTATTGAAATAGGCCGACAGCATCTTAGCAGGCCAGCTTTAAACAGTCAACTGTTAACAATAGCATCAAAAAGAGAGACCTGATGGGGTTTACTGTCACTTTAAAGAACGGGTTTTCACATTGTTGAAATCTGTCAGATATTTTGAAATGTCCCTCTCACTATGGTGCCACACCCCCTGCGTGCCCTTATAATAAAATTGGTTTTACTCCTGATTAAATCATTTTCTCCCTACCCACTACCATACTTCTCATAATGGACCTGTGCGCTCTACAGCTGGTGTTCTTCCCATGGTACCAATTCTTACTTTATCTTTTAAGCACTTTGCTGCTAAGATCTCATGCAGAGTGCTTATGTTTTGTTAAGAGCTTCATTCTTAGAGAAATAGCTTAACACATGTTCTAAAAATGTTGTACAACTTATTGCTTAAAACACATTTAGAAAATGCATAAGTACTGTAGCTTTGGCACTGCACCTTTAGTGGAAACCTAAGCACACATGCACACACAGACACACACAAGCAGACACACAAAACCAACACCCAATCAGACCCACAAAACCATCACAGCCAGAAATGTATCAGAACATTCTAACATAAAGTGACATTTTGATGCATAGGTTCAAGACCACCAAAGGCAAGTGTGCAAAGGGTTAAAAAATGATTTTATCTTAAGCAGGAAACAAACAGCATTAGCAACAAATAATTACTTAACAAAAGGATAATCCCAGCGATATCAGTCACCTCCATGTACATACAAGATGATTCTTGTGAAAGTGAAATGGAATATTCAATCAATAAATACCACTTGATCATGTCCACTTAAAATGGTACCTAGTACAATATCAATATCAAATTGTGTCACTTAAACCAATATTCCTACTATAGTTATGTAGTCTTCATTTAAGGAATACAATAATTTATAGTCCTCTAAGAAGTAACTTAAACAATTTGGCAGTTGGAATGAGTTCTTTGAAATATGGTAGCTGGTTTTTCATATTTTTCACAATCAACCAAGGTGAGGTCTTCTTGCAATCCAGAAGGTAGCAAGGTATATTCTTCCTGAGCACTATGGTTTATCTAATCATGTGGTTTATCTAATCATGTCCATATAATAAATATACCTTCTTATGAATACAGCCAATCTGCAACAATATCTAACCATAGCTCTATCCTGGTGTTGACAGGGCTCATTATAAATGTGCTCATGGTATTTGATAAGCACTTTCTAACAAAGCTACTAGCGGTAATGATATCTTTGTACTTTTCCCTTTTATGATGGAGCAATAGTGTCACACTATTGACATTTGATGGTAGGGAATTCTTTGTTATGAGGGCTGCCCTGTGCCTTCTAGGATGTTTAGACCTACTAGATGCCAGTAAAACTGCCCAATGGTGATGACGAAAATGTCTCCAAATATTCCGGGTATTTTCTGATCCTGCAAAATTATTCCTGGTTGAGGGTATATAAAAGTATATAGAAGTTATTAAAGTATAGAAGTTATTAAATGTTGGTTTGTGAGGTTTACCTTAGGTAGACAGGGTACTAGAAATTTAGATGCATACATCCTGAGATTCCCCTCATTATAGAAATTTATGAGTTGGTAATTATTATTATTATTATTATTATTTGAATTCAGCATTCTTCACTGTCTTGTCTGCCATATGAGCTGTGGCCTGGGTTACAGCAAGACACTATGAATGGTCTCCTCGCTTCCATCCTGACTCTCTTGACATATTTTCCATCCAACAGAGTTTCCTTAAAAAAATTTAAAAATCCAACATCCTTCAAAGGCTTCCCCACTATTATTATTATTATTATTATTATATTTTTGGTATCGGGAATCAAACTTGGGTCCTTGTGTTTGTAGGGCAAGCGGTGAAACCACTGAGCTAAATCTCTGGCCCCGGTAATTATTATTTTTAATTAATTTTCTTGGCACATGTTTGACATATATAATGATCACATTCATCATAAGGAATTTGTACCTGTACATAATAATTCTTAATTCTTTTCTCCCCATTTCCCTCCCTTTCCTGGGTAACTATTATTGACAAAATCAAAACCTCATAAAACCATACCTTGCAACAAAACAATTGTCCACAATTATGTGGTGCCTTACACTATACCAGGGACTATGCTATGAATTTTAAATTCATTACTTGGTTTCATTTTTTCAGGAGGATACTGGGGTAGGCGCTACTGTTATGATGTCCATGTCATAAGGGAAAATGAAGTGTGGGTAGCTTAAGGAACTTGCTTGTGGCTGACAAGTGACGAAGGTAGGATAAGGAGCCAGGGTTCCCTGCTGTGCTCCAAACCAGTGTGTTCAGATGTCATCTCTGCTGGCAGAGGAAGAAGAAAAGGAAAAGGCAAATAAATAGTAACTGCAAGTGGTAATAGATTGACTCTTACTTCAAAGATAGGAGTTTTTACACTGTATCCCTGAGTGCCTTACTTGAGGCTACGCTTTCAACTGTAAACTGGCCCTACTGTTTAGTAGTTTCTTATTTACAGAAGGCGCAGATTCTTATATGAACAGATATAAAACATACTGGTAGTGAAATGAAATTATGTTAGGGAAGGGGCTGAGATGAAGAAAGTTGTTGTATGATGGTGGGGTGCAGAGGAACTAAGGTAGAGTGGAAAAGGTATTATGGAAAACATCTCTCCCTTGCACAGATTCACCACAAATTCATTGTAGATCTATTAATTTATTTGTGAAGTCAAGATGAGTAGGAGGATAATTTTTGGCATCAAATAGGATAACGTGTCTTAAAAATGTTTGAAAAGTGCAAGGAAGCAAACATACTCAAGATGTTACTGTGACCAGGTAGGTGAGTAAAGGCCCCTTACGGGGAGCAAGGCAGTGGAAATAGTGAGGAAATATCATGAAACATCCTGGCTGTTCTAGAAGACTCATTTCAGTGTGATGCAATTTTTCACATAGAATCAACAAAAACTGTACAATCTAGAGTTCAATACTGGGAAAAAGTCTGGTTGACTCAAGATAGGTCACCATTCTTACATTCATAATCTGTGCTGGTTTCTCCTGGCCCTCCAAGCAGGCTATTTTAAATTCACTTTGGTTATGGTTTGTGGCTTAAAGCATGTAAACAGAATTGAAGATAGGTTACTCTCCAGAATTGAAATACTATGTGACTTTTATAAGACCACAAAAAACCCCAAATGATATTTCTAAATAAGGCTCTCTTGAAATATCCCCTATGGAAGGATCTTTAGAGAATTACGTCAGTTTATCTCTTAAGTAGATGTACCTATATAAGCCAAAAATTATATTTGCAAGAAAAAAGTCAACTATAGATGTGGAACAATTTTATTTATAAAGAAGAACTAAAAAATCATTTACAGCCATAGATGGTCAATAGTAGTTTCCCCCCAAATAGGAGTTTTTTGTTTGCTTTTTG